CCCCTCCTTCCATGTTCTCCCTCCTCCCCCCCAGCGGTGCAGGGGGATGGGGAATGGGGGTTATGGTCAGTTGTTGTTTCTGCTGCTGCTCAGAGAGAGGAGTCTTTCCCCTGCTCCCGTGGGGTCCCTCCCATGGGAGACAGTCCTTGATGGACATCTCTGGCGTGAGTCCATCCCTCAGGCAGCAGTTCTTCCCAAACTGCTTTCCCGTGGGTCACTTCTCCATGGGGTGCAGTCCTTCACGAATGAGCTGTACCAACGTGGGTCCCCCACAGGGGACACAAGTCCTACCCGGGAAAAACCTGCTCCAGCATGGGCTTCCCTCTCCATGGACTGCAGGTCTCTGGCAGGACCCTGCTCCATCCTGGGCCTCCCAAAGGGTCACAACCTCCTTCATGCATCCACCTGCTCCAGCATGGGTTCCTCCATGGGCTGCAGGTGGGTCTCTGCACCCCGATGGTCCTCCATGGGCTGCAGGGGGACAGCCTGCTCCACCATGGTCTGCACCATGGGCTGCAGGGGCCACAGCTCCAGCTCCTGGAGCACCTCCTCCCCCTCCTTCTGCACTGACCTTGGTGTCTACCTTGTTGTTCCCATGTTCTCACTCCGCTCTTCCCTGACTGGAATTCTTTCTGTGCAACAACCTTCTTTTCTTAAATATGTTATCACAGAGGCATTACTATTACTCCCAATTGGCTTGGCCTTGGCCAGCGGCAGGAAGTCCGTCCTGGAGCCGGCTGGCATTGACTTCATGGGACAGGGGAAGCTTCTAGCAACTTCTAACAGAAACCACCCCTGTAGCTCTCCCTGCTACCAAAACCCAGCCACAGAAACCCACTACAGTGTTGAAAATGGAAGTGACTCTCTGGGCCATCCTCTCTATTTGCTGGATCTGAATCAGCCAACCCCTACAACTGATCACTGGATGACCTGCCATAGTGTGTAAGCTCTTAGTAGGTATGTCTTAGAATTGTTGTCCTGAGTGCCAATTCACACACTGATGTGAGGTATTTCTATTTTTTTATTCTAGTTGGTGCAAAGTAGGGAGCTGACTGGTAACCCACAAAAGGCTGGCTCCCCGATCATCAAAACCTTACACTATTTATACATTTTAACAAAGGCATTAATGATCACTGGCTACAAGTTACATAGTTCTCTTATTAATTAGTCTTTTACCTTCTATTGGTTAATGATTCTCTCACTTCCCATGCTAATTAGTCCACATGTTCAGTCTTCCTCTTCTTTTGGGTCAGTGGGTTTCTTGTATCGTTGGTCCATGAGTCAGTGGTTGCAATCTTCCCCTGCCAGAATTATCTTTTACGCAGTTGGAGCTGATTTCTGTACAGTTACTGAGTTGACTTTATTAGTTTCTTCCTTATCTTGAGAGTTCTGCCAGATGTCCTTGTGGCCCATAAATTCTGCATTCTTTGTGTCCACTATGTCTGAGATCACTGAAGCATGTCCAGCCCTAAACCTTAACAAAGCAATTCTACCAAGAAGTTAATTTATCGTTCTAACACCTGGACATCAGCATGTGCTCTTAATGTTTTGTGTAAACAGTAAAGTTGTGAACACATAATTTAGCAATGGGTTATAATTTTTTAGAATGACATCTTTCAGTGTTCATGCCTTTGTATCATAATAAAGAGGGGGTGACTTGAGCTGGATATTACTCTATGTTTACTGGAGGTCAAGATTTGTACAGTTTTTAGTAAACGTAGAGCAGAACCTTCCTTGGAGTATTTGGATATGATTATTACCTTAACTGGAATTACTTTGTGCTTGACTTCTCACATCTGAGCCCTTCATGACAGCAGGAAGGAGCAATCTGCCTTTGCATTTCAAAGCCCTTTAAATACCATTTGTAATTAAATGTATTTCCTCTTTTTATGTTTGCCAGCTCTTAATAAAACAAGAAATTTCTTAATTCCTTAGATCTTTGAGAAGAGTAAAATGAGAAAAATTGGTGTGAAACCTGTAAAGATATATGAGATCTCATTTCCTTTATTCCTCTGATTCACTTAGGCATTCTGATAACAACCATTGCTTCAAAAGGGGAATTACAGAATTGGCCTGACCTCTTACCAAAGCTTTGCAGCCTGTTGGATTCTGAAGATTACAATACCTGTGAGGTAAGGAGGCTTATTTTGAAATGGATTATTTATTTAAATTTGAATATTTTTTGTCTCTCTTCATAGATACTGTATATATGTATAGTACTTTGTATGTGTGTATATGCATATATATAATCTTTTTTGTTCAGTGTTTATGAAGGAAAATAAATAAATACCAGCTTAACTGTTGTAAGCTATGAAGAGAAAAAGTCTTGTCTGATTTTTTAAAAATCTTACTTTTAAACATTTTTAATAATATGAATAAATAAATGAGCATTGAATGTTAAAATTAAAATTACCACTTACCTGTTATAGACTCATCCAACTTGAGATCTTACAGATGATAGTATAAAGTGCTTAAATAAAAAGTCTTTAAGGTTTTTTTAATTTAACTCCATATTTAGTCAACTACATTTACTTTGTTAATTAGCTATGTTTACTGTGGTCTTTTGCTAAAATTATGTTCGGTACAAAACCTAAAATGTTACTTTCTTCAAAATGTAAAAGAACATATTTTTTTTGTTGTTATTGGGTTTTGTTTGTTTTTAAACAGGGTGCATTTGGTGCTCTTCAGAAGATATGTGAGGATTCTGCTGAAATTTTAGATAGTGATGCATTGGACCGACCACTCAATATCATGATACCTAAATTCTTGCAATTCTTCAAACACAGCAGTCCAAAAATAAGGTAGGTGTAGGTGTTACACTAAAGTTATCCGTTAAAAAATTATTTACATGAGCAGCAAGGTTGATATTTTGTAGATCAGTTTAAAACATGCTTAGTTTTTTTAAACGATCCTGCATATGCAAATGTGAGAAGCGAAGGCACAGAAATTTCATGCATCAGTAATTTCCACACTTATCTGTTTAGTTAATAAATCAACCTCACCTCTTTATACATCTTCCAAATATAGAATCTTTCTGACTTTGAAAATCAATTTTTTAAATATTTTGCATATTATTATGAAAATTTCAATGCTGTGGTTAAAATTTCATATTCTGATTAGAAACAACTATCTTGCATTCATTTTGTTATGACTGCAGCAATGGGAGAGTAAAAAATAATTTACTGAAAATAGTTTCTGAGTTCTTGCAGAAAAATATTTTTCTGCTTTAACTGCACCAAAACTTATAAAACTCTTTATCTTTCAACTAGATAAAATTAAATGGATTCAACATCTTTTTACTTAAATACAGTATTAATCTCTCCAAAGTAACAGAAGTATAGAATAGAAGAAAAATTCCAAATTTAACTTGTTATTGCTAATATTTATCAACAAGAACAGTAGCTTTTACCCTGAAATAAGCCAACAATGTGCCCTTCCCACAAACAAGGTGAATGGTATCCTGGGCTGGAGTGTTACCAGCATGGGAGGTGATTCTTCCCCTCACCCTCCAGGTGAGGCCACACCTGTAGAACTGTGTCCAGTTCTGGGCTCCCAAGTACAAGAGAGACATGGAACTACTGGAGAGAGTCTAGTGAAGGGCCACAAAGATGATGAAGGGACTGGAGCATCTCTCCTACGAGGAAAGACTGAGAGAACGGGGACTGTTTAGCCTGGAGAAGAGAAGGCTCATGGGTGACATCATCCATGTGTGTATATACCTGAAGGGAGGGTGAAAAGAAGACAGAGCCAGCCTCTTTTCATTTGTGTCCAGTGACAGGACATGCAGCAATGGGCACAGACTGAGACACAGAAGGTTCCCTCTGAACATTGGGAAGCACTTTTTTTACTGTGAGGATGACCAAGCACTGGCACAGGTTACCCAGAGAGGTGGTAGAGTCCCCATCCATCCTTGGAGATATTCAAAAACCATTGTGATGTGGTCCTCTGCAACCAACAGTAGGTGACCCTATTTGAGCAGCTGACCTACAGAGGACCCTTCCAACCTCAACCATTCTGTGTGATTCTCTGAAATGTGTTTTTGGACTCCTGTTTGAAAATTATATTGAAAGATTTTATGACTTGGAGGGTTCAATTATTACCAGCAGTAGTAGATGGTGAAGACTAGAAGAAAGAACATAACTAGGAATATATCTTGATAGGATTTAAATAAGATTTAAAAACTCACCTAAAATAGATGCACATTAAGGAAAATATATGTATGACCAGTCTTCGCGAATGAAGATTTGGGAAAGGTCTTTACCCTTCGAGCTTGTGCAGTGGATTTTTTAGGTGAGACACAGTGTGCGCTGAACTGAGCACACCCTTTAATCCTAAGGTCCATCTGCCGGGGCCGAGCAAACCTGGACAGTGGCAGTGAGGTCCTCAGGACGTAGGTATGTTTAGAGTGACCTTCTCTTAGACGGATGGCCTTACAGGGCTGACAAACTCCATCTGCCCGGGGGAGTTTCCCTGACTGGGAATTGAACCCAGGCTGCAGTGGTGAGAGTGCTGCATCCTAACCACTAGACTACCAGGGGTCCCCAAGGAAAATATATAATGAAACATGAACTAGCACTTGTAGAAAGATAAGCTTTGGCATTGAGATAGTTAAACCAGTTTCATCTTTAAAGCAGATCACCTGCTGACCTGTGGCCTGGTTTCAGTACATAGTGCTGAAGTATGAAGAATATTTGTAGTGTCAGTAAAATACTATTAGTATTTAACAGTATTTAAATATTAACAGTATTTTAATCTGTCAAGAGACAACTTTTGAACACTGTTTTATGAAACTTTCTTCCAAGAAATGTCTGAACAGACTAGATGTTCGGAGTTACGTTAGTAAAAATACTTGAATGGATCTTCAGAGGCTTTTAAAGGTAGCTTTATCTTGTGCCTTTACTTATATAATTTGGCTTTTGTATCTCTGAGAATGAAAAAGACTTGTAAGCAATGGCTTTGCATGAAGTGAAATAGAAGAACCAGTTCTTCACTTTCAGTTTGTTTCTACCACAAGTGTTTTATTATATATCCTAATGCAAGTGTGTATTTGTTCTAAGCTACAACTATATTACTGATGCATATTGGTCTCATTAAATTATAAACATCTTGCCAAGGAAGTTGGATACTTAATAATGAAGAAGGGCGTGCTAAAATGTCACCATGTTGACTTGTATGGAATTGTTAATATCAGAGAAAATTAATAATCATAATACTATATTATGATTATTATGAAAAAGATCATCCTTGCATACTGTTTGGAACGAATGTGCCAGGTATAGTCATCCTACTATGTTTTTTATTTACTGAATACTTAATTTAAAATTATTTATTATATATATTGGAGGTGGTACTTAAAAATGTGGTTTAGTAATTTTTCTTGGTAACAATATCGATGTGCAGATTTGTTCCCTCTTGCCTCTAGAAAATGCTTGGACAGTGTGATTTACTTCCTAATGTTTTTGATGCCCATGTGCAGTTTAGAAAATGTTTAAGTCATGAAAAACATATTTTAACTGTTCCATTTGTAGGTCTCATGCTGTTGCGTGTGTCAATCAATTCATCATCAGCAGAACTCAAGCTCTTATGTTGCACATAGATTCTTTTATTGAGGTGAGTGTGCATTCTTGGTTGGAGGGGTTAAGTCAAATAACATATCTAATTTATCAAGAGCTTTGAATAATGTTTTACAACCACCACTACCCCCAAACTCCACATTGATGGCTTCCCATTCTTAGTGATTCTGCATGTTTATGCTCAAAATAATCTAAGAACTCTCCCAGCCCAAGAAATTAGTATTTTGAAAAATGCTTCCTTTTCATAAATAGAGGAAACTTCTTGCATAGAAGTACTGACAGCAGTCTGTCACTTTCCTGTGATTGAGAGTTCAGTACAGGGATCATTATGTCACTGAGTCTAGATTATGGGTCTCTGAATACTACTACTGAATGTGGATGAGAAGGATAATATTTTGGGTTATCCAGAGTATTTTATTTGCTGCTGTTATGTACTGAAGGCATTTTCTAGCTTCAGAACTTCATTAATGTTTAGGGAAAAAATTCAGGGAATAATGTTCTTGTGTCTAATGTACATATGACCAAAACACTGGGTAACAATACACACTGAAAGTCCGAAGAGTTCATTTGCTAAACCATGTGTTTAGGAAATAATACGATTTTCTGAGGTGTGAGGTGTGAGGGCACAGAAGTACATGTTTGTATACTTTAGTTTGCCAATAATGTCAATTTAAATACAATTTGAACTAGATGAATTGAAGCTTTTCAACTGGTATTACTTTCCAATAGAATCTTTTTGCACTGGCTGGTGATGAGGAGCCTGAAGTACGCAAAAATGTTTGTCGTGCTTTGGTAATGTTGCTGGAAGTTCGAATGGATCGCCTGCTTCCTCATATGATTAGTATAGTTGAGGTGAGTCTTATTTCCCAAATTGCATACTGAAACATGTTTGAGATTGCATAAATAATAGCAAATTAAAAACATACATCAGAATAGGTATGTTACTCTTGCGCTTACCTACTCTTCATTATATGCTTGAGGTTGCAAAAATTTCTTTTTAACTAATTGCCAACATGACATTGTATTTGACAGACAATGCATATGGCAGTTGTTCATTCTTCATTAAGTTAATTAATCCTGAAATGACCAGGATCAACTATACCATGGAGCAGCCAGGCATTGTCTGACAAGTGAGAAGATCATGTTAAAAATCTTAGGTCTGGTGCTGATACTGTTGCAGTTTACACATTGAAACTGTCACCTTTTTGGATCTTTTGACCACAGCAAGGATAAGGAATATTTAACCAGACACGTGGGTCCTAAGATTTTTGTCAATAGAAGTCCTGACTTTTTGTAGTACAATTGTAAGAATTGATAGATGCAGGTTAACCAAGATGACCACGACTCACAACTGAAGTGTGAAGAATAGATTTATTCCATCATTTGCAGGGACACACACATACACTGTTAAGTCAAAATGTAGCAGGGCCAAAAAGCGCAAAGCATAGCAGGGGCAAAAAGCACCAACCTGGTCTGGGCTTTGTCTTACATATCAAAGGCCTGATGCATGCGCAAGTGGATCACTAGGCTGTTTTTACAGTTCTAAACTTTCTCTCTTATCTCCCTTCCCCCCAAGCCTTCAGGAAAGAATGCTTTTAAGTTTTTAACAACATTCTGTCATCTTCGAGAGAATTCCATTTCTTTCAACAGACAGAAAACAACCTAAAGGAAACACAGGCTGTGAAGATTCCCACACTGAAGCAATATTCTTAACAATTTCCAGCTGCAAGATTGGTCTTTAGGCGAAAACAATTCTAAAACCAACTTATTCTCTTTTCTCCTTGCCAGTTTTCTGTTTTCAACCCCTTCCTCCCTCAACAATGCATAATGCCATTATTTCTAATGAATGATGTTATAACACAGAAACTCAGCTTGTTGCTGAAGTAATAAGATTGTGTGCATCCTGTTGCTTTCAGATAGATGTCTGTTACTGCTCAAATGATGTGTCTTAATGCTTTGTGCATCACGCTCTTCTTTTCTTAATAGTGATTCTGAAAAACTCGGTCCGAAAAACTGCTCAGTCTTTTTTTTATCTTTAAACAGCAAGGTATTTGTTTATTCAACGTTGGGAGCAAGCCAGCTTGCGCTGGACAAACTTGCTCAACTTGAAAGTGCAAAACCAAACCATTTTATACACTTTAGATACATGGTTACATCATTTAACATACATATTAATAAGTAGGCTAGTCTCTGGGCAGAGTCTTTCCAGACATGCGCAGTCTTCTACTGTGGGGGTCTTCTCCTCAAACCTTCATCCCTCTGGTGGTCGCCATGGACGTCTTCCTCAATTTGACCTCTTCAGTTAGGTGACCTGAATTCTTCAAGCTTGCAAAATCCTGGCTCTGGTCCTTCTATATCTTATTCAAACATCTAGTTTACCTAATTTGTTACTGTGTGTGTACTACTCCTATTCTTTCTATAATAAGGCCTTTGGTCCAGTGATCAGAACAGAACATGATATTAACCAGTGCTCCTAAAATGTTCTTCTAGCAAAACAGGTATTGGGGTTTCTTAGCAGGCCAAGATATCTCATTTAACTCTTTTAGGCCTGGCTCCTGTTTCAATAGTTTGACATAGCAAGACTAACACAACATTGTTACAGAGTATGCAAAGCAGTTCTGAATAATATTCCTATGCTATTTTTTAATTTTTTGTTATGAAGCAACTATTTCCACTGCCTAAAGTCAGTAGAATTTTTTAACTTATCATTGAAAGTACTTATTAAAGTATGGCGGAAGAACAACCCTGAGATTAGCTCAGTTGGTTAGAGCATAACACCAAGGTTGTGGGTTCAATCTCCATATGGGCCATTCACTTCAGAGTTGGACTCGATGATCCTTGTGGGTCCCTTCCAACTCGGAATATTCTGAGAAATACTGAAAAAACCTAAAAACCTTCAAATAGTATTTCCCACAGTTTGCTTTGCTACTAGTATCACTGTTATTATGGGGACCTACAGGAAAGATGGGGAAGGACTCTATCAAGAATTGTAGTGACAGGACAAGGAACAGTGGTTTTAAACTGTTAGAGAGTAGGGTTAGATTGGATATTAGGAAGCAATTCTTCCCTGTGAGGGTGGTGAGACACTGGCACAGATTGCCCAGCAATGTTGCAGATGCCCCATCTGTCTCAGTTTAACAAGACAGAAGCGTTTGCTAAGGAGGGTGAGTTATGAGGAAGACCAAGCTTCCCCCTCTAAGCAATTGTAAATCCGAAATTAAGAGGGTCCAGTAGAGGAAATGTGGAGAAAGAAACAAAAACTTAACAGCCTTTTATTAAAGGATGTGTATAGGTAGCACACCAAAAGAACAAAACCAAACAACAATCCTGCACCCAAATTCCCACCCAAAACCAGTTCTTTACTCCTTTTGGCGCAATTCTAAGCACGACCAGCAGGGGGCGCTGTTGGATCTCTGGAGGAACAGAGCCTGCAGTTGCTGTGTGGTGGTCGGCAGGGGGCGCTGTTTACGAACCCCACGTGGCAGATGGCGGATCTCAACTGTGCCAGGTTGTTCAAGACCCCAAGGTGTGTCCCCCACCCTCAACCACGAAAGTGGCAGCTAGCAAGGGACCAGGATGTCAGTCTGTCCAACGAGGAGAGGGGAAACCCAGGAAGAAAGAAAAAAAACTCACAAGATGCTGTCAGCTTCCGGATCCCTGGCAGCTCCGAGGGGGGGTACACAGGCCGTGGGTAAAACAGGACACGAGGGGTCGGAGGCGAAACTGGGACCTCCCTCAGGGCTCAAAGAACCGGCGACCCAGACGAGGAGGAAAAAAAACCCAAACTGAACCTGGAGCTTGCTTCTCCACCCTGCATACTCCCTGAGTCTCAGAATAAAAGGTAAAAACCTTGCAGTTTCCCAAGGAGAAAAACTCACCTCTCTCCCCCAGTCTTCTGAGGCCCATTAACTTAGAATGTGGGGCTGCTGGCTAGTTCTTTTGTGTGTGTGAATCACTTTAGCTACCCCCTCCCCCTCTCTCCACAACATCTTTCTTTCACAGTGGGACAGGGGAAAAAATTCCCAGCCGGGTTTTTTTCTTTAAAACAAGTAAACCTATGACACCATCCCTGGAAATGTTCAAGACCAGGCTGGATGGGGCTTTGAGCAACCTGGTCTAGTGGAAGGTGTCCCTGTCCATGGCAGGGGGGTTGGAACTACATAATCTTTGAGGTCCCTTCCAACCCAAACCTCTCTCTGATTTCCATGCTGTGTCATCATGGCTAGGCTTCGCGAACGAAGATTTGGGAAGGGACTATCCACATTTGCTACAGCATGCTGTGTATATGCCTATCTTATACCACTGAATATAAGTAGCCTTTTCAATCTACTGTTATCTAACTTCATGGAGCATATATTATAATACATGCCTAAAGAGAAAATGTCAGTGTGAGGAGCATCTTGAAACAGAAATTACTTTTTGTCATTCTGGTTTTGTCTTTGTGACAAATAACTGTACACAAGAAAAGTGTGGATTTTCAAGCCCTCTAGAGAAAAATGCCAAATCACTTCAGTTGCATTAATGAACCTTGCTTGCAATGGATAGAACATTTTTCAATTTTTCCAAGCTGTAATCTGTTCATAAGTCAGAATAGAGCAGTATTTTTGCTGCTGTCAGTTCTTAATCACAATAATGACCCTTTAGGAAACACGATATATGCAGTTCATAGAATCATAGAATGGTTTGGGTTGGAAGGGACCTCAAAGATCATCTAGTTACAAGCCTCCTGCCATGTGCAGGGACACCTTCCAGTAGACCAGGTTGCTCAGAGCTCCATCCAACCTGGCCTTGAACACTTCCAGGGATGGGGAGGGGAGTCCACAACCTCTCTGGGACCGTGATCCAGTGCCTCACCACTGTGGGAAACGACTGGATGGTAGACCTTGAATTTGAGCAGTTGCAACTCTGAAGTTGTAAAGAATGTAAACAATCCAGGATGGGAAAGTAGAAAAGGAGCAAAACTGCTGTAAATAACAGGTGCTGGTTTTGAGATTTGCCAGCACACGAAGAACTGTCGACCACCTATCAAAAGACGAGTTTAGGCGCGTTAAGAGTAGTACCTGACCAATGAAATATAATATGCTTGCACGTGGACAGAGAAAAAGAATATAAATCTAAACTTAAAATAAATAAAGTTACCGTGTACCTTTCTCTGCTGTCTGCTCACTGGATGGGTGTAGCCCAAAACTGTGTATTCTATAGCCCTCCATGCCATTTCCCAGAAACTGTTGTCAGTAGAGGCCTGCGAGGTGTCCCCCCCCCATGCTCCTGTCCTCATGCCCTTTTGTGGAATTCCCTGACTGAGCACCCTCACACCCTTTAATGGAATTCCCCACTCTGAGGGAAGGACTGAACATCCTTTTATGGAATTCCCCGCTCTGAGGGAGGGACTAATCATTCCTGCCTGAGTTGGAGAATATATAAACCTGGAGTTTCAGAACCTTTCCACCACTGGTGGGATCCAGAGGAAGACTGCAGCTCACCGCTCTCAACCGAGCTGAGACCACCACCCTCGGCTTGGCTGCAGTCGCCGCTTTTGACCGGACTGCAGCAGCTCTCCCACCAGCAGGTTTTTCCCCTCTTCCTTTACTTTGGACTCG